TGTACGTGAATAATGCGATCGAAGTCCGCTGCCCAGAGTTTATTATATTATAGTAAAATTTAATTTGACGTATGGTATGTTTATGTTTGCGTAATTATTATGAATGCAACACATTATCAAGTCGGTAATATTGAAATATTCACAGACCCAATACCCAGAGTCAGTGCCCTAATAATAGTTAAAAAAAAAAAAAACTAATTATCATGAAAGCAATACATAACAAAGTACAGAGCCGGTACAATATTGTAAACAAATTTGCGTAATTAGAAAAGCAGTGCACTAAGTAAACGACGTTCAAGTTGATATATTCAAGTCAGTACAGAGTTGCATACAAGTTTACTAGTTTGACGCGCGGGGCACGAAAGAAAATCAAAGAAAGCTTAGAAAGAACTCCCGTGTGCTGAGAGTATTGAAGAAACATTAAAATTAATTCAAAATTACTTGTACATGAGATATTGATGGAAAAGCTGAAAACTAATTATGTAAATCAGGTAACTAATATGAACAGAACAGAACAAAAAAATTATGAATTATTATGCTAATTAGAGAATTAATATTAATCAAAATTAATCAGGCCTGTCTATTGTCCCTAGAGCATTTAATGTACCAAATTTTATTCAAATGTGATGCCGAAAATTGACTAATCATTATGCAATTTAAGTAATTAGTATGCATAGAATTTCACCGAAAAACTAAATAAATCAAATCTGTGCATTAGTCCACAGCATCTATGTACCAAGTTTCATCAAAATCCAATATGTGGTTCTTCAGATATCAGTGGAACAGTCATGGAACAGCTAATTAACATGCAAATTAGGTGATTAATATGCATGGTTTTAACCAAAACCTAATCAAATCTGCACATTAGCCCAGAGCATCTATGCATCAAGTTTCATCAAAAATCTACATATGGTTCTTGAGATATCATATAATGTCCCATAATGTCCAATGCATGTACAGCCAAGATCCGCTTCTAGAAATCCAGAAAAGCTTGATTTTTCAGCACAAAAATGGCTGCCATTCGACCATCTTAAATCAGAACGTTAAACAAATTGATGTGCATACATGTATATGTACAATATTATGTATGGTGTATGTGTTAAGTTTGAATGTGAACAGTTCAGGTATGTTTAAGATACATGCACACACGCACAGAGGTCAATCCCTGTATCGAACTGCGCCTGAATAGGGAGTGAACAAACAGAAAACATATATACATTGTACAGGCAGCCAGACAGACAGACCTGCTTTATGTAATCCAAGCAAACATATTCTTAGGTGACTGTGTTTAAGAAATATATTAGTGCCAACCATGGACCACGGTTAACCATGCATGGACTAATACCCTTTGTTTAATTCATAACCACAGGGAGGAAAAACATCTCAAGATAACACAATGGGAAACTGAAAAGAAAAAACATGTCTCATCTTCCTTTTTAAAGCACAAAGACTGGACTGAATGATACACTGTGATGTAAACAGTTGTGGTCATGAATTACCAGTGGGCAGCAAGGACAACAACCTCAAATATACATAAATAGATAACCTTTGGTACTGGCACTTAAGTTGTCACTTGAGGAAGTTGTTTTATAGTATAAGCTCACACACCCACCGGCTTGGCTCACACAGATCTGTATATTAATCTGCAGAACAAGGATGGTGAGTCATCCATGACATAATAGATACCCTTCATCATTCAATCTGCATGCACACCACAAACTAAACAATTGGCAATGATGACAATGAGAAATTCACATGATAGGTATCAGTACACTGGGATGTTAACTACTACATGTACCTGAATATACATAGAGAGTTAAGAGAAAACTATGCAAAGTAACGTAATCAACAATTCTGTAAATGTTTTATGTTTATTGTCTACAGTGTTCATAATTTTGATGGTCTTGGAAGAGACTATTGTTAAATTTTCCCATGAAAGTTAAAATAAATTTAACAGAAATGTGTATGGCCAAAATAAGTCAACCATACAATGCAATGCAATGTTTAGTTTATGTGTGCTTCAAATATGGTACATAAATAAGAACCCCAGGGTTCTCAACAAAATGTTTGTTGACAATACAACTTTTGAGGCAAACATTTCGCAAGCCAGAAAAGAAAAGTGAAAAAAATAAAATAAAAATGAAACAGATCCACATAATACCATCTTGACTCTTAGAACCTTGGACTCAAATCTCAATTTTTGAACAAACCACACCAAACCAAACAACTTGAAGCCAGCCAGGAGACGCGAGAAGTTGTATCAACCAATTAAATTTACATAGCCAGGACATAGTTAGCTGTGTTTGATAATTATATGCATCTTTAATTAAAGTGCACATTGACCAAAATTTGTATTTTTTGTATGCTAGATCATTGAAGCACCAAATTTGTTGTGCAGTGCTTGATATAATTTTGTGTAAACAAACAATACATTTTACAGAATCCATATGACACAGTGCAAAGACTACATCACAGTCCCTCTAGAGGGACTGTCATCACAGTCCCTCTAGAGGGACTGTGACAACATGTACATGTATGGCACTTTATATCGCATACACAACTATCAATTCCGTAAGCATATACATATGCTGATACCAGTACCATAAAATATATTATTTTAGCTGGAATTAGTCTTTGTTGACTTTTTGGGTGTTTTGTATGGAATTTATTTTCAGCGATCTTTGGCCAGTTGAATGTAAAATATAGGTACAAGATATATTCTCTGGATGTTATTTTTCCTGAATCATTCCTTCAGCGAAAAAAGAAAAAACAAATTTGTTGAGCAAATACAATACTCTCAATAAATTTTGAAGAGCTAGACAAGCTGACCTGATTTTTCAGATAAGGAAAGAAATCTGATCCATAAGTCATGCAGGGGGTATGTATTTATAGTGGATGGGAATTACATCATGATATTCTACATGTACATGTGTCCTTATCAAAATGACAAGCTTTACTGGCAAACAACAATAAATCATAGTGAAATACAAATGTACAGTATTTGTACTTATGATTTTAATTCACTGCTGACATACATGAAGCCACTTTATTGGATTTTGGCAGAATTGACAGAAAAAGTACAAAGTCAAAAATTGTCATAGAATGGACAATAACGCTCAAGAAAATAAAACTGTTAGTCAGCTATCTGGAATAAAAAAACAAAACAATTATGTGCCTTTAGTAGTAACACACCATGTGCATCTTTCATACTATGTTTGATTCAAATCATTACCTGGTGTGTTTTTTTTAAATAAATATGGCCACCAGTTCTGCTTGAATATTCCATCAATCATTGAATATTCAAACAATTGAGATCAAAGGTATATGATCATGTCTTGCTTTAGTGACATGGCTCAAACATTTCTGAGACCCGATCCATAAAACTTAAATTCCTATTTTGGGTTGGTCTGTCTGAAGAGGAACATATCAAAAAAAATCTGAATATATGTTGCCAGATGCTGATTCATTTGTAACTTTATCTATTTTAACATTTTTATTATAAAACTCAACATATAATAAAATATTTATGTTGCTTTCAGCTCAATATGCCATTCATTTTAGTTTTTTGATGTTACTTTTATTATTTACATAGATTTAGTGACCTTACTGCTATACTTTCAGTAGACTCTACAAACATAATGCTGCATAAGATGCTTCTCCTCACTATGATGTAAATCTCTCAACAAAGTTGTTTGGAATGTTGAGAGCTAACTTAATGGTAATTAAATATCACTGGTGGGCTATACTGGAAGATAAAGACAGGCACTGAGCCATTATGTTCAGTTTTAAAGTTAAGTGTTCATTGCAAAAGAATGTTAAAAACAGGCAGTGAGTCAGAACATAAACATTTACAATTTGGCACAGTTGCAATGTTTTCAAAATGCTGTATACATTTAATTTTATGTGCAAATTCTGTAAAGTATAACTACATGTATGCTACAATGTATAAAGTTCAGGCCTTGTCCTTTGAGAGTAACCTGGCTGCTGAATATGGTTCTCATGAACACAGAGAAGCTATGCTATCAAACTTGCTCTTCTGGGTCTTGGTTTGGGTGAGTGATAGGTGAGTAGAGTGATCACTCACCTTTAATAGAAAGTAATGTCTGATAAATGATCTTTCAAGAAAGAGTAGATACTCACTCAAGAAATAAACATCTACAATGTCTTGATGAATGTCAGATGCTCTTGTTTGGTTAACTTGAAAAAATGTGGTAATGTGGGTCTATGGCTATCATAAGTTCAGAAAAAGGTTTTTTTTTGGTTCCTAAGAAATATCACTATGTAACATGAGTTTAAAAAGTTGAATTGTCAACGGCATATATTTTATCATTTTATTCAATGCATACCATCAACCTAGTTCCATATACTGGTAATTATACAATTTATGCTTGTTGTAGAGGCAAAACTTTGATTCAAACTCACTCCTTTGAAATGAATCATTCAAAAATTGTCTTCAATTTATCTTACAGCTTATGACTATCAATATAATAAATCAAATTTCAAAAGTTAAGTTGTATACAGTCCTATGTAGAAGTACTATACAAGATTGTTTTTGAAATACACACAACCAAAATGTTTATAAATATAAATAATATTTACGTTATCATTAGTTTCTATTAAGCCAACAATTATAACAGATATTAGAGAAGAGGATTGCGTTTTTGTTACCTATAAACTAATCATGTATTTTGATAAGATATGCATTGTGTCTGAAGTTCGTTTTATAACAAAAACATTTTTGTTTATTTTTACTGACACTATTATAACTACAAAAGGCGGCAGCGCATTCCAGCAGTTTTTACACAAAATAACTTCACAGAATGCTTACTCTATGAAGATATGTCACAATATCTAGATATTTTGGCCACAAAATCAGTCCTCACATTGAAGGTTACCGAACATGCAGTAAAATATCCATGATTCAAACTGAATCCTGTCAATTTAAAATGAATAAAATAAAAAATAAAAAAACTTTAAATTTAATCCTACTAGTATCCTACCTGTTGTTTTGGTTGGACTGCTTCTTTGTTTAATAATATTTCCTCCAATAATTGTAATTTTAATTGCACTTGTTTGGGTTCCCTGGAGGGTTCTGGCAATGAAAAGTTGCTCCCTTTTGCCTGCAAGTCGTTTACAATGGGTTCTACAATGCATGTGTTATCACGCTTGTGTACTGTTTGCTGGTTATTAACCCCTGGTTTCTTGCTCCTGATCCTTGGTTTGAGGTTATTACGGAGATTGATGTTATCAATTAAAAATCTTGGCGGTATGGTCACTACCTTACAGAAACTATAGTGTATTGCACAACAAGGCAGACGCTGCTGTTGTGGTGATGCCAAAGATGCACTGGGTTGTTCAGTATTAGGAACCTTATTTAGTTGACAAGCATGACACTCATAGCAGTTATGCACAGCTCGTTGGTGTTTCTGGTCGATCCGTACACTCTGATATACGGTCAGCCTGCAGATGACACGTCTGTAAGGGACATGGTGAAGTTCCTGCATAATAGTCATGCAGTTACGATGATGATGACCACAACAACAGCTGACTGTAGCTTGACATGCAAAATTCAACTGGCTGGGAGACTAAGCAGAGACTGGCATCCAGACGGGTTTGCGCAGGGGTGGCAGGCAGAGAAGTATCCAACACCAAGGAACAGAGAACGGAAAAAAGTTGGTGAACAGAAATTGTAACCTTGTTCTACAGTGATAGTATCAGTCATGTCCAAAGTTGAGGGAGGATGGGTAGCCAGGCTGATAAGTTCCATATAAGGGCATTGTACTGAGAGGCCACAGTGCATACTACACATGCTCCTAAGATATAGTTACTCAACACTCACACTGGTTTATTCTTAGCTGACCCCCCATTACTATTATGCACAGCTGTTCTAATAGATGTCAACACTCCCCTAAAAGTTTAACCCATAAAGGACATCGGTGAAACAAACAACACCATATCAGCAGTGTATCAAACGGATGTTCATGTATAATGCACCATTTGATTTATTTTATCAAAATTAACTAAGACAAAAGGTTTTATTATAAGAATAAATTTAGCATTATTGCAGTGGCAAATGAAGAATAAGTATACTAGAATACAGTTCAGTTGGAGTACCTAAAAATTATTATATTCAATACGATATTTCCATATTAATAGTTTTAGCGTGGCTTAATGCATTTAATTAAACTTCATCATTGATAATCGAAACATGAATTATCATTTCCAAGGTTAATCATCAACTGCCACTAGAGGGCAGTGTAAAACAACTACTGGTGTTTGTCTATATTGGAAATACAACTATTTTTTATCAATTTAAAAATGCAGAGAAAAGTCTAGTATTTGCTGACATCTAAACAAGATGCTGACAGAAAATTCCTTACATTAATACATCTGAAACAGGAAGTCAGAAAAAAAATCTAAACATTGCAAAAGAGTATCAAACAGGAAGTCAAAGTCAACTTTTGGCACTTTTCAGAGTTTTTTTTTCATTTCAATTAAGAACTGTAGTAATATGAAATGTCTATTTTGCCCAAAATAAATGAAGAAATTACAGATTAATTAAAAACATAAAAATGAACAAAAATTTGCATCAAAATTTTAGTGGGGAAAATTATGACACGCTAAGGTATAATTGAAAAAAATCAAGCCACACATGGACAAAATGTAAATAATTTATATATATATGCACTAAAATTGACTACCAGTTTGAGTTTATCAATTTAAGTATTTGAAAAATCCAACAGACATCATGTTGGGGTTGAGAGAATCAATCTGCTGAGGCTACTGAACTTTATTAGACAGTGAAAAGGAACCGACCATTAACAGTCAAATATAATTCAATTTTAACCCAGTTTTAAAAGCTACCAGCATAGTAAAGTAGAACAGTTCTGATGAATCGCAAATGTTGAGTGAATTAACAAGTCATCTATCAACAAACTGATGTAACTCAGTACTCAGTTTTCTTTTGATATCCCTATAAAACAAGTTTTGTTCATGATTAATACCCCCTTTAAATTAATTAGACAACTGTTTTTTATTTGCTGAATTTCAATGGGAATTTGCTGTTCTTTCTTCAGAGACCTCAATGTATTACCTTTTGAAACACATTTCTTCTTTTTGCCATGGAGGTCATGTATTGATTTTACTGAGTTGAAATACAAATTGTTAATTTTGACCAATATCAAAAGCTTTCAAACATATATTAGCTTTAAAAAGTGTATTCAAAGTACTATCATCATATATACAATACACTAAAAATAATATGTATTGTATACCGGAAGCAAATTTACCTCGTACTGAAAATTATAAACAAAATACTGTATTTTCTCTATTGAAAGCACATTTACAATAAAAGTGCACATGAACAAAAAATGCATACATCATATGCCGGATCATTAAATATATGACTTATTTTGAGCGAAGACTCCCATCTGTCATTTAAGTCAGCCCCTATGCAACTCGTAGAACAAATACGGTATTATGAAAAAAAAAATGATGAACAACATAGAGCAACACTTTTAGTAGTCAGTATTCTCTCGCACAACTGGTAAATAGAATAGCACAGTTCACTGAGGTTGGCAATAGGCAATTGAAAAGACATAAATGCTGAAAAATTTGAGCTTTTTGTTAGTACATTGAGAAGGAGGTAAATACTGTATACGACAGCGAAAGCGCCCATTTTGCGCATTTAAAATTTGGTCTTTGATAATTGCTTAACATTACTGGTAATCACTTTTATATGATACAGCGTGGGTATCAACCACCGTGAATATGTTGTGAATGCGTAGACCAAAGTAATCGGGAGTAAACTACGCTTCGACAATGACCTGATAATAAAAGTAAAATGTGGTAAATATTTCATGCCAAATTCAGTTTACGTATCAAAAATTGCTAGTTACCATTTTTTTTGAAAAAACTATGCTGTTTATTCACCAAAATTAATTCCAACAGATGGTACTACGACATTGATAATTCAGGAATTTTCGAAGAATTGCTTCGGTACAGCACATTATTTTGATTGGTAAATAACAGACTTGACCCATTAGGTCAAAGGACGTTGTTGCAGGTCAAATCGTGGTCAAAACATCATGGCAGAAAGTGCTTTTTATCAAGAGTTTGCGTACAACCCAACACATTTGTCAGTGGAGATACGGTTGAAAAATTTGACTTTGATTGTGTTCCAACATCCATAAATTCGGGTGGTATATAATTAATATTGTAATAAAATGTGCATACTTTTGTGACCCTTTCTGTTTCTTCATTGTAAATATCTATGACGACGCAACTAATTTCGTAAATTTTATTTCCCCTCAAAGATATAATATTCCCCTCAATCTGACATGACACATGATGAATTAAAATTGGGGTGCTCGGGTAATGATTTTCTGAGTTGAGGATCCTGGGCGCTAACGCGGTCGCGTATGGTATGTTGATCTATTCAGTAAGGTATATTTGTTTCAGAGCACTAAAATCATTGTCTTCAATGAAACAATTATGATTGCATAACTAAAGTAGTCCATATGCATATAAGAATGACTAACACAGTGTCACAATGCACACATGCTGGCAAGTAGAAGTGCAGAGAATTTTATCTATTAAATTTATTGGTGCAAAGACAGATACAGTTGTCAGAGGATTCCAACCAACCCACAATAGTCCTAGGGTCACAATGGCTTTAAGTAATTCATTGTAATACAATGTAGCCTGAAAATGTTGCCGTGATATTGCTCATTACCAGTGTAAATCTATTCCAACTTTTGTCTCTGTGGTAACTATCAGGTTTCATGCCACTAATCAACCAATTCGTGATTTAAATGCCTTGCATGAACCAATGAAATTTTGTAAATATTTTTTCTCTCAGGTGCGCCCTGTTTGAGGGCGTGCATCACCGGGGTCATAGGTGAGACTAACATGTGGTCTTTTGTTTATTACTTAGCGGCTGTGTACCTGTGGGTTTATTCTGTGTGTATTTGGATGTTCTAATTTTGGTGTTTTTCCAGTGATTTCTCTGATGCAATCTAAATACAGTAGGTGTGTCTTGTTTACCTGAGTTTTGCAAGAGTTTGAGCAGGCCAACATGTGCATTTTTTTCATATGGTTGGTTACTGGCATGTTGATTTCCCATTTTAGAGCCATGTTTTCAAATTTATTTATCATTTTCAAATAGCAATTCACTCATATGTTAACATTGTCGTCTATGGAGTTCCAATTAGTGGTATGAGCCCTATCAGTTGATACAGTTGATGCATGCAGAGAATGTCATCCTTTTTTAGAAAATTAACATATTCAAATTAGCAGTGTGCTATACTTATCTACCAATCAACACTAACAACAGAGGGGAAAGCTCTGCAACATTTCCAGACTATTGCGGAGAGGGCCCACAGAGCGTTATTTACCATTCTTGAGTGTGTGAGGGTGCTATTTACCTTTCTTGAGGTATTGTCATATATTATTTCATTTTTAAATTTTCAGTAAGCTCTACCTTTGTTGTGGTCATGTGATATTGCCTCATATAAATTTGTTTCTAGTGTTATACATGGAATGCAGTGAATGACATACACGTGTTTCTTTGTGTCTCAATCTGCATGTTATACACTAAGGAATGTAGTTATTTGGGGATTTTGTAGCTGAGATGATAAAGCAGCTCAGAGAGAGAGAAAGAGACCTAACAACAATATTTGAATACCTTACTTCCTCTCTCACCAAAATTATTTGTTTTTCACTTACCTTTTTCTGTGATGTTGCAAATACTTTAAGATTACCAGTGGATCGTTTGCGAGGACTTCGAGGACTTGGAGATTTTCCAGGTGGTGGCGAACATGGCGGTGTAGTTGGAGATGCAGCCCTCATCAACGGTGACATTGGCCTTGTACTTCTACTGCTATACTGACTGGCCGCAGAGCTAACATTTTCACCTCTAGCAATCCGCTTCAAACAATCTCTTAAGTCTATCTGGGTGTCAGAGTCACTTAACCAACGAAGGAAAAGTTCATCCACTTTTAATTTAAGTATTGGATTCATTGACATTTCGGCAACCATTTGGCGTTTGTAATGGAGAATCTAATGTGTTTTTGTCTTGGCAACACACAGCTTACGTTTTCTTTGTTATTTCACTTGACCAAGTAGTATAGAAATGTGTCATTTCTGCAAAAAATAAGAAAAGATTTTGGACACTTTCAATCATTTTTTCAGGTTGTTCAATACATTCATTTCATATGCATAAAACATTTGCTTGGTACCAGTGTTCTTCAATTCTGCTTGAAATAGAATTAGAAAGATGAGAGAAAGTTGAAATCTTGGCACTGTATTGTAATGTCTGTCAAAATGAAGATGTAGAAAACAACCACTTTATTTTAATTAATCTGTTTGCTTTAATCTTAACACATTGACTTTTGTAAGCCTGATCCTATCAAGAATTAATTGAGTGTCATTGTCAACTTTTGGCACCAGCAAAAAAATGATTGTGAACAGTCTGCTTCTTCCCACATGACATGTTAATAAGAAATGATAAACCTTTTGGTCAAAAACTAAAAGTAATATCTGAAACTGACTGTATGGACCAAAATTATGATAA